CCCCAAAACCCCAAAACCCCAAAACCCCGTGATAATGAATAGATAAGATTATGATCTTTAAAGAAATAAATTCTATATTGATTATCATCAGTTGGCATATACTTAAAACAATTTAATTGACTTCAAACAGGTAATTCATCTGTTATGATTCTTTACAAATCCATAAGCTTCATTCAAAACACTATCAATCTTATAGTTAAATACAGTATAATCTTTGACATAAGCCTTGGTAAATTTCTCAATTTTCTTTAATTTCATCTCTTGAATCTATTTGGCTAAATCTTTAGTTCTCATTTTAGGCAATCTCTCCTTAGAGTCACTCAATATTTAGGTGCCTCCTTCTAGATTGCTTTTATAATGAGTATTGATCATTTGATGATTGTCATTAAGAGTATTCCTCATTGTGTAAGCAACTTTGCGCTTTGCTGTGTTATTCAACTTTAAACAATCAACAATCATTCCAATTTTCTTGTCTTTTTTTTGTTTTATTACCAGTTAATATTTCTATTCATTCCAGTCCTTATTATCTGCTAAAACAATGCTAGCTGATTCCCTATCCAATTAAGTTATACTTCCATCCTAATTTTAGACATCAATTGGAGGTGACTAGTGAGACAATGCGTATGCTTATTAAGATTTTTAATCTCTGAGCCACACTTTTGGAGTAATAAAGTTCTTCTTTATCAGATATTCATTTGAATAACTGTTATTATCAATAGTCTTCTACGAAGTACTGTAAAGATTCATAATGTTCTTCTCGTCACTTTAAACTGAGCCTATACTAGGCAGTGATAACTACGAATTTTTATTAGTATAACTATTTCTAACATTGTATCTCAAATTCTAAATACTTGGGCTGAGAACAGACACTTGCAAATCCTTAAAACTGTTTCTAAGCAAATGTCTATTGTCCAAAGTGGAATCATCAATTTTCAACAATGATGGCTTTTTCTCTGGGGCTGAAACTTTCATATACTCAGCATCTATAGTCTAATATTCCTTCATAACCTCTACAAAAGATCGCTCTTTTCTTTTTTTCTTCAGAGCCTCCTCTTTGAGCTTTTCTATTTGCTCACTTAATTTATTTTGTATTGCTTGCTCCATTATATACTTTTATTTATAAGATGTAAAATTAATTATAAAAGCTTTGCTTATTTCATTATAAATATCTAAATGGACACTACAAAATATATAGAGCGCTGCATCGACCTTGCTGGTGGCGGCAATTCTCGATTTCATAAGATTTTTGGATTTCTACTCTCAGTGATCTTTGGAAATCATTGTGTATTCCTTTATGGTCTCGGACTTTATGAGGAAATTCCATAATTGAAATGCTTCGATTAAAAATCTAACAAATTTCAGCAATGCAGTTAAATATAAGCATGCAGTGATGGTATCGAATATCAAATAGACTATCAAAGTGATAAAACTATCATAAATTGGATGACTAAATATGATCTAGTATGTGCATCTAAATTTGACATTGCCTTGATCGGCACTCTGCTGATGATAGGATATATGATAGGTTCAGTCTTTTTTGTGAGATTAGGAGATTTTTATGGCAGGAAGTTAGTTGTGACCGTAAGTGTATTGATCAGCAGCATATCTTTTATTGGAATATTTTTCTCACCAAATATTATTTATGTCGATGTATTTATTCTGATTTATGGAATGACCTGTGGGCCTAGAGGTCTTGCTTATGTGTATATACTCGAGTTAACTACAAAGAAGTATGAATTTATCTATTCAACTCTACCTATGGCATTAGACGCAATTTCAATGCTAATTCTTGGAGTTTATTTCTTAGCTTTTTCAGATATGTATCCACTTTTGCTTTCTGTGACAATAATTTAGACAGTTGCTATGGTTTTAGTAATGATTTATGTCCCCGAGTCACCAAAACAACTTTATGAAAAGTGCTAATACTAACAGTTTTATTAATCTATCAGAAGAATCGCTAAATTTAACAAAATTACCATTGAAGATGAGGATTTGATTACGATAGCAAATGATCTACAGGATGAGAACTAAAATGTAGCAATAAATTCAACTGACTATGTTGATTTGGAAGAAAAGAACTCATCAAACAAATAAAAGATCAAAGATTCCAAAATTAATCGTCAAGTAAGCTTTTGTGAGAGCTTAACTAATAAATAGTTTCTCATAAACACGATTTCAATTTCAATTACTTGGGCCTTATCCTCCTACACTTTTTACTTTGTCACATTCTACATAAAATATGTTCCTATTGAAAATATCGTATATCTTACACTTATGATTGGCTGTTCAGACGTCCTCACAAGTATAATATAGGGCAAACTTATCAAGTCATTTTAATCAAAAAATCTAATCACAGCATTTCTGGCAGTGTTATCAGTAGTTTCACTCATAATGTATATTGCAGATTTGACATTAGATGATGACACAACACTAATGATGGTACTTATGTCATTTCTAGTATTCGCTTTAAGAGCATTTAGTTCTCTAAATTTTATGACCGTCTATTATGCAAACAATGAATACTTCCCTACACTGCTTAAAGGAGCTATATTTTCAGTAACAAATATCTCAGCTAGAGTTGCTTCGGTGTTCTCTCCGATAGTTGCTGATGGTGTTTCAAATCCAGCTATAACATTATTCATATTTAGTATTATCACTCTTTTTACGCATTAGCTACTTAAGAAATAAGAGGAATAGAAATTATGAGGTAAGACTATATTTATTGACATTGAAAATATCTTTGTTAACCTAATCGCAAACTCATATATTGCCTAAACATCTTGATTGATTATTGAGAATTTCTTAATCATTAATTTAACAACTTCTTTAATTTACTAAGCACCATAATTTAATAATATTTAAAATGAGTTATTATGCTATAGTTAACACAGTCATGTTTAACATTCGGTAAGGTATATGACTTATCTTGAGTTAAATTAATTGCAGCGAAGGTGAAAGTCAGAATAATAAAGGATATGCCATTTCGATTGAACATTTTGAAAGTTTACCATCAGACAAGAGTTGGCTAATTATCACTCTTTATTGCAGATAAAAGTCATGAGATAAGCAATAAGTATGACAAATTTCTATTTGATAATACAAATAGAGTCGCGATGTATGTTGCCAGAAAATACAGATTATACTGGGTCAGAAGACTTCTCTATGTATATGGGTGCGTTATTTTCTCGCTGTAAATTGTCCTATCAAATTACTGATGAACTATAGAGTGGGAGGGTATTTTTATGCTGGCTTCGGTAAAAACATGGCGGCTGCAGGGTACATGAATAATTTTCTCTAGCCTGTTGATTACTCATTAACTTTGATGCTGGATCTAGGGTCAAATGATGGTCACAAGTATTCTATGCAAATAGTTAAGATTTTGAATGATTCCATGCAAAGCGATGGGAAGCTAGATAATCTTGACTGGCTTTTGCTAGGACAACATTTTTCAAAGAATGCAGAAGAGGAAATGGCATTTTAGGTCTACTAAATGGTCCATTTAAAAGATCACTAGAGATTTAGAACAAACTCTGAACTCAAATTTGAAACTAATTCTATTGTTAGAGAGATTAGGAAAGCTACTTGAAATTTCTGGAAATTAATGATTTTGGCATTATTACAATTAACCTCAACTATCTGTTATTTTAGATTAAGGGGTTTTGGGGTTTTGGGGTTTTGGGG